TAAATAATTGCGTATCACATACCGGGAAGGTACAACGGGCATGCAGATCATCTATCTCGTTTCTGATTACCACCAGAGTGGCATCTTCTACCTGCATGTGCAGAAATTGTGTTCAAAAAGTTTGGTGTGCCTGTGATAGATTTATTTGCATCAAAGACTGCTCATGTCGATGCGAATTATGTTTCTTTGGACCAAAACGATGTTTATTCAATTTATCACGGAGCTTTTTCCCGTTAATAGAACTATGTGAAAGGTTGGATTTTCCCTCCTCCTTATCTAAATTTCAAAGAGTTAAGTCACCTCAACCAAGCTCAAGGCACTTATTTCCTCAGTGGGATCGAGTATTTTGGAAAGCAGGTCTGAAATCCAGAGCACTGGTTCCACCGTTTGCCATACCCCACCTAAGTCGTTACCTGATAGACACCTCAACGAATTTTTCCGTCTTCGAAAGTACAAAAGATCTTAAATCAAAATATTATAAATACTTTTGTAACAATTACAAATTGATTAATTATATAAATTTAAGCAACATCACTGATTTTGTACTTTGTACTACTTTTAGTTTAGTAATTATTACAATTTGCATTGACTTAATAACTAAGTAAGTCTTTGCTACAAAATATCAAGCTTATTTAATTTAATACAAAGATTATGTACCTCGTATATCGAACTCTATAACATGAAACAAACAATTGTGTAATTTTCTTTCAAATCCATTTTCATGTCTAATATATCTTACTATCACATTGGCGTCGTTCATCTCCAATAACAAACACGTCTCAAACCATAAAGTTTCAAATAACGGTCAAGTGTTTAATGACAGCGGTTTTCCTGAAATAAAACGCTTATTAAATACTTACCTTATTTGAAACTTTAATTTAAATGCTGCCTGGTTGGTTTTTCGACTCAATGAAGCAAGCGCGCAAAGCCTGCCTGGTGGTCGAGTAAAGTGACGTCAGATGTGCGAGTGAAAGGCAAAATATGTAGAAAGAGAGGCAAATAGGCAGGCAGGAAACCATAGAGCCTATCTCAAACCATAAAGTTTCAAATAAGGTAAGTATTTAATAAGCGTTTTATTTTAGAAAAAACGCTGTCATTATTTACAATATCCTTTTTGTATTTAGAGGGTAACGGTCTTTGGTCAACATATGTACGTAGTCAATTTATTTAGTACTAATGAAATAAACATGAAAAAACTCTGATGTTAATTTTAACAGTACCTAATAATCATATCATCGTTCATGATTTTTTTTCTTGGATTATCAATGCGATTGCGACATCTTAATTATTATTAATGGTTTTTTTTTTCTAATTTAGGTCTCTCACAATATTACTGGTCATTTTTGGGCATGCACCAATCCCTCCGTTTATGGCTATAGAGAACCCTCAATGGCTAGAAAGAGTGAGTATTAAATGCTATAATAAACTAGATGTTTTCCTGTGACTTCGCCCGCATATATTAATATATAAATTATGTAAAATGCAAACAAACAATCAAATCTTTCGTATTTATATTATTAATGGTTTAGATTAGCAATGCATTTCATTTAATTAAATCAATGTCAATATGACGGTTAGCCCTTTAGTTGAATGGCGCCATTCATTTTATTATTAGATGGGTTCTGCAAACGGCATTTACATTTTTCTTTGTATTCGTTAATTAATTTTTGTTTGATAGCTTTGTGTTCCAAATATTCTAATTCAAGTTTCTGGACCGGATTTTGCATTTAAAATTATATGGACTGTTCTACATTTGATTAAACCAAAGTAGTACATACTGATATATTTACTTAATTTTTTTTTCATTTTTGTATTGTCCATATACATAAAGTGTGATAATATGGTTTCTTTAATATCATTATTGAAGTTATATCCACTCCGATTACACTACAAAATATATGAAAGAGGATTCAAGGAGAGGCAAAACCACAAAGGGCTCAAAGAATCGCCATGATAGATACCTTTTTAATATATATTTGTCTCGTTGTTATATTTTTATTAAGGTTATTTAGGTCTTGACCGTGGGAGAGCCATGCTTCGGCATGAATGGGCCGGTTCGACCGGAGTGATACCACGGCCTCATAGAAAACCGACGTGAAGCAACGCTTGCGTTGTATTTCGTCGTGTGAGTGAGGGTACCGAAGGCCCAACCTGCCCTTCCCTCACTATGATGGCGCAGTTGAATAGAAACATGACGTCCTGGACGTCCACTTCAGGGTGTAATATACCTGGGCGTGGACGCCCGGGCCGCCCCTCGTATTGTGGGGGGGGGGGGCAAAACCGCGCTCATACATGACCAGGGAAAGAATAAAGTCACGGCACCCCCCTCCACACTGTCTCTTACAAACTTCATACAAACTTAAACGCTGTCCATCACCACCTGAAAACAGTAAAGCTGGCCTTACTCTTTTTGACTGAGACGCAGATATCGTCTCCGGCGGACACTTCTTACCTGTCCTACCCTGGGTACGGATTGGAGCACACTTTCGCACCAAAGACGTATGTGTGTACGTCAGAGACGATATTTGTTCTTGGCGCCTTGGACACCTTGAAAGTAGGGACCAGTCCATCCTATGGCTTCGTGTAGACAGCGACGACCGCCCCCGCGTCTATTCGTACCTCTATAGGTCCCATGACGGCGATGCCGAAACTGACCGACTTATCGAGCATGTCCAAATGGCTGCAGATTCTGTGCAGCAGCAGATCCCACTCGCAGAGATCGTGATACTGGGTGATTTCAACGCTCATCAAACCAAATGGCTTGGTTCTAACAAGACCGATCACGCGGGGAGATCTTTTCACACCTTCGCTCTTGCACAGGACTTGACAAAACTGGTTACTATGCCTACGCGAATCCCAGATGTCGAGAATCATGATCCTTCACTGTTGGATCTTTTCTTAACCTCCCATCCCGACGGCTACTTCATATCTGTTGACGCTCCACTTGGCTCCTCGGACACCTGTCTTATTAGGAGAATAGTGCCACTCGCGTGCTTGCACAACCACGTGTTGCACATAGTCGCCGTGTGTGGCATTACAAGTTGGCAGACTGGGATGAGTTGCGATCCTTTTTTGCGTCCTACCCTTGGAAACATATCTAATTTACGCCGGATGATCTCAACAACGCCGCCCAGTCTGTTGCTGATGTGGTGCTTCAGGGTTTGGAAACTTTCATTTCGTCCTCGGTTGTCCCTATTGGTGGCAGATTCCAACCTTGGTTTGGTCAGTCCTCGAGAAAGGTTTTTCGTTGAAAGCGGGAATCGTACCAAGCCTGGGCAAATGCGGTATTGTCGCGGGATGTAAATACCAGCGCCCTGAAAAAGCAATACAACTTTTCCTCCAGATACTTCAAAAGAGACATTGCAAGAGCGAAAGCGAAGCACATCAGTAGAATTGGCAAGAAGCTTGAACGTCTTCATTCGGGGCCGCGTGCTTTCTGGTCTCTTGCCAAATCTATTCAAGATAATTTCTGCACGGCTTCATTTCCACCCTTGCACAAAGATAACTTTTCATATGCCCATGATGTAAAAGAGAAAGCCGATCTCCTGGGTAACTTTTTTGCATCCAACTCAACTTTGGATGATCAGGGTCTGAAACCACCCACCATTCCACGGTGTAAGAGCTCTATACCTGATATCCGGTTTCACCAAAGCTGAGTGCGTCTAGAGAGAGTATCTCTGGAAATCCACAAGTCGAGTGGGCCCGATGGTATCCGGATATTGTGCTAAGGACGTGCGCTCCAGAGTTGGCACCGGTCTTAACGCGCTTATTCCGGCTCTCTTACTCATCTGGCGTCGTCCCAACCTCATGGAAAACTGCTTTAATGCATCCGATCCCAAAAAAGGTGACCGCTCGACCCCGTCCACCTACAGGCCGATCGCTATAACCTCTTTGCTTTCAAAGATAATAGAGTCCATTATCAACCGCCAGCTCCTTCGGTACCTAGAGGATCACCAGTTGCTTAGTGACCATCAATACGGATTTCATTTACTTGACACATAACTGGGCTACGGCAATTGAAACAAAGGGCTTTTTTGAAAAAACTCTGGCAGTAAGTTTGGACATAGCGAAAGCCTACGATCGAGTGTGGCACAAAGCTCTTCTATCAAAACTTACCTCGTATGGGCTTCCCGAGAAATTATGTGCATAGGTCACTGCGGATGCGGATGCGGATGATAGCACAATGGACTCCTTTTATAACGGTCATGCAGGTATTTCTCGGGTAAGCGTCATTGAGAGCCGGAATCAACTTGTGTCTGTTATTGATTCTTCGTTAGAGTAAGTCTCTAACTGGGGTCGACCCAATTTAGTCCATTTCAACCCTACTACGACACAGGTTTGCGCGTTCACCGGCAAAAAAACCCATATGTCGTATCACTTCGTTTTTAAAACATTCCCCTAACTACCTCAGCCAATATTGAGATTCTTGGTATCGACATATCGAGCGAGGTCCAGTTCCGTGGTCACTTAGAGAGTAAGGCTAAATGAGCATCTAAGAAGCTTGGTGTGCTTAATAAATCGAGGCAGTATTTCACTCCAGCACATCGCCTGCAGCTTTATAAGGCGCAATTTCGGCTCCAAGGCAAGGAGTACTGTTCTCATCTTTTGGCAGGGGCACCCCAATACCAGCTTCACCCTCTAGACCGCATTCAGCGGAGAGCAACTCGAATCATCGATTGCCGGGACACTTCAAGTCGGCTTAATCCACTGGCCCTGCGTAGAGATGTTGCTTCACTGTGCATCTTCTATCGCATCTATGTTCGAAATCATACCTGCCGCTACCTTCCGCCATCGTTCCACGCGACTAGAAATCCACGCCCATCATTTGAATGGTTGGAAGTCCTCAACTGTGCGTTTTTCTAGAAGTTTCCTGCCTCGCACAGTCAAACTCTGGAACAGTTTGTCGCCAGCGGTATTTCCGGACCGATGCGACCTTCAAACTTTCAAGCGTATAGCATATTCGTCCCTCAAAGGCCGGCAGCGCGCTAGTAGCCCCTCTGATGTTGCAGGTGTCCATGGGCGACGGTAATCACTTACCATCAGGTGATCTGTCTGCTCGTCTGCCCCTATCCCATAAAAAAAGTCTTCCAATGTGACATAATATTTTTTAAAAATTTATAATTAGAGGGTTCATTTTGTATATTTTTAATATATCTGTAATAACTATGAATGTGGTATACTATCGAACGTTTTTTTATAGTCTATATTTCTTGTAAGTTCAATGTAAGTTTCTATTTTTTGAAGTAGCATGCTTGTTGAATCTATGTATAATAAGTTATTCCTTGCACCCCATGTGACTTCGCCTGCATCCTTTTTGTTCTTCAGCTAGAATTTTTTAGTTTTTATATGTGAATATTTTTTTTGTGTAATCTCAGATATTTAATGGTTTAGTATATATTTGGTAAACATGTGATTAGCCTATATGGTTGCAATGAGTACGTATTTTTGGGAAGCATATAAATTATTCCAGTAGCGATGAACTCCGAGATCGTTTGTTGTCCTGATATTCTTCTGATATATTTTTATCTAATGCATTATGGAGACAAACGAATTTTTTACACCAAAATTAATATATTTTATCCAAGCCTGTCGCCTTCCAATCATGTAACGTATCTGTGACATCTTTAAGTTCTTTTTCCGATATTTCCATGTATTCCATACTGGCGATACCATTCCATCTTAATTTCTCTCCTGCTATCCAATCAGTTTAATTGTCATGTAACTTTTGTTCGTCCCATATACCTGACCAGTATTCTTCTAACGGTGCTTTTATCGGTGTTATAACATTTCCTTAACTGCTATCGATAGATGTTTATATTAATTAGTTTAAATTGCAGGATCCGTGCCTGAATACAAATTCAAATTAAAGTGAAATTTCTTAGCAATTTTTAATTTAATTAAGACATCAGTTTTATAATCCAAGATTAAATATGTAAGGTCAATGATTGTTAGTGACTTGTATAAATATCAGAATCATTATATATGAAATGAAAATGTCTTGATTCAAGTACCTAAACTTGTTTCAAATATATTTGAATGGTCAAAAAAAAATTTTTTCCCCTACCACTTGTTCAGGACGTGCAGTTGAATAGCGCCATGCCCTAATGAACGACTGTTTAAATCAGTTGGTTGCGACAAATATATGCTAATCAGTGCAGCTATTTAAAATTTTTGTTTATATTGGTACGACTTTCTACTTTTCTCGAAAAAAAAATAGTTTTGACAACCCATCCATAGACCGTCTCTTGCTCAGTCATGATCACCTTTGACCATTTTTATGTCCCCACTGGAATTACTCAGGCCTCCCTAGGAGATGGTCAAGGAGGATGGGCCATGCAAATGCAGCCGGGTCTAAAGGCTTAACCTACCTTCTGAATCTCAAGATAATAATTTTTGGTCACCCATCTTGTGACTGACCCTTCAAAAATTGATTAACATGCGCTGCGTCACCGAGCTACTCCAAGCTCTTGCTAAGTATTGCAGAGCAAACGCATTAACCGCTATGCTTTTATTTTCTTCTGCTGTACTGATATATCAAGATATTTAATTATAAATATTTTTGTTTACAGGCGTTCGAGAATGTTTTGATGCAGTGTGCTTTTCAAGGTCACGTGATCACTCAGACATTTCTCTTGCTGTCCGGTTTCCTGCTGACTTACCACATGAAAACCGTTAGTGACAGTAAGCTTAGCTTGACGACAATACCAAAGCGAGCTTTTTTGCGATGGCTCAGGTGAGGCTTTTTACTTATTTATTCATTTGTTAAAAGATTTATAGTTAAGAAGGAAAAAAATATTGTATAAAGCTTATGGAACAACAAAAATCCAATTATAATAGTCTCCATAGTTAACAAGTCTACTCTTTCTTGACTTTTTGGAAAAAATTACATATATTTTTTTATATTATTTTATTTCAGTTGAAATCACAAGTTTTAATGATATAAATAATTAATCTATATAAATAAATAAAATTGGAGTGTCTGTTGCAATAAATATTAAAATAACCGTTAAACCGCTTTTCACTAAATAAACATATATACATTTTTTTTCTGTCTGTTTATTCCGGCCAATCTCTGAAACGACTGGTCCGATTTTGAGGGGGCTTTAACTGGCTGATAGCTAATATATATGTGTAACTTAGGCTACTTTCAACGCGGACGAAATCACGGATCACAGCTAGTATTCAATATAATAGGAAATAAAGAACTGACTTTAGTTCCATTTGATTTTTCAGTTTCATATCAACAAATTGTAATAAACTCTTTTATATGTTACGTTTCAGATTAGCACCAGTTAATATCGCGATCCTGACCCTAACAGCTACGTGGTTCAGGTTCACGGAATACGGACCGTTTTGGCAGGTTCGTAATTCTTAAAATACTTAGAATATCTTATATATGAAACCAGCTTTTACCCGCGACTTCGTCATTTTGAGCAGCATTTCTAATGAATATTTATTTATTCGTTCCATTAAGTCCTGATAAGTTCAGCTAATACATTTACATCCTCCATCATCCCTTATTTTATCCCCATGGGGGGTTGAATTTATCAAAATCCTATTTAAGCGGATGTCTTCATCATAGTAACTCCAATCTTTAACTTCAGTTCAATCAGTCGAAAATCTAAGAAGACTTATAGAAACTTTCATCTCCTATTTTATACCCTTGGGGCTAGAATTGATGAACATCCTTTCATAACGTCATAATATAATATACGTCATAACATCTACTTGCATGCCAAATTTCAGCCCGAACCGTCCAGTTGCTTGGGCTGTGCGTTGATAGATCTCTATGTCAGTCAGTCAGTCAGTCACCTTTGAGTTATATATATTTAGATAAGAACTATTATTTATTTATTTAAAAATAAATATTTTACGCGAATAATATTATAATACTAAAATCAACAATCAAAAACTACCCTTAATTTTTACGCATTTTCTTCATTTTCTTGTTGTAATTGTAACTTTTTCTTCTTCTTTCAACGGGCGTGTCAGCAACTCGTCATCAAAATTGCGCCTATTTTGTATATATGGGGTGTGGCCGGCTACTCCAGCCAGCCTAGTTCTGCTAGAAACGCTCCCAGAGCCTTCACGTCTACGATGGCTTCCTGGAGGTTACCCGGCGAGCTGAGTTGCTTTGCTCGGTAGTTGGCCACTCCGTTGCATTCCAGCAGGACGTGAGCGGCTGTTTCTTCTGCTTCATGCATCCTCTGCACAAGGGGCTGACAGTGACACCTACATTGAAAAGATCCCTGTTAAAGGTGTCATGACCAGTAACAGCACCTGTTACCAGGCGCAAAAATGGTTTATTTAGCTGAAGAAGGGCTTTAGAGAGGCAGGCGTTCACTCGGGGTAGTGCAAGTTTGGCCTGCTTGCAGGTTTCCAAAGTATTCCAGTACTGGTGATATAGTTAACTCTAGTGTTCTCGTATTCTACGAATTAGCCAACTTATCGGTATAGGAATAATTGGTTCGGGGCCCATTGGTGTTGCGTCTGATCCTCTGCGTGCCAGTTCATCAGCTGCATCATTTCTCTACCATGTTCAGAACCTGGTGATACTACTGTAGCAGACTCGATTGGATAGACTTTTTTGAGAGCCTGTAGGACTTACTGTCCGAGAAGATCCGGATTTCTGATCCTGTTACCTTCCTTGTAGTTATCGCTCTCACCGCAAGGGTGATCGCCGTACATTCAGCCTGAAAGACTGTATTATATAGGCTGAGGGGCAAGAACAGATGTTGACGTCATCAGCAAATACACCAGTGCCTGTGCCTGATGTAGTTTTGGAGCTGTCCGTGAACATTGTGATTGCCTTATTGTTACCTTGAATCGTTATTTTCTATAAGATATATTTTGTTTTTCTTCAGTATTTCATCTTGTATTTAGTCTCGAACCTTACCAGTTTGTGATTCTTTAGCCTCAACGCTGTCTTTGCCGCTTTCTGTATAATATAGATACGTAGCGGTGTGATATTTTACATTACCTCCAAAGCTGCCGTGGGCGCCGTGCACATGCATCCCGTCAGGGCTCAGCATGCCTTCCCTCTGGAAGCTTTACAGTTTGTTTTTACAGGTAAACTGAGTAGTTCTTGGCCACCATACAATGACACCATGACTTACCGTCGGTCGTATTACTATATAGTGGAGCCACAAAAACAGTTTAGGCGCAAATCCCCAGCGTTTTCCTATCATTTTACGGCATTGTCATAGGATGACGCTCTTCTTCTCCTTTTTTAATTAATGGTTTATCTGCGCATATCGCACAATTCTGCCAATTTCAAGTAAATACATTAATGAAGGATGGCGATGATCGGATGACGCGCATTGTTTTAATTTTATATTCTATGTGACAGTTTAATTTACTGTTAAGAATTATGCCAAGGTACTTTACCTCCTTGGACAGTTGTAGTGTTGTGCCAAATAAATTCGGTAGATTAAATGTACCTACGTTGTGTTTGATTGTAAACATTACCAGTTCCAGTTTTGCAGGGTTCACTGCCAGATCGTACTTTTTACACCAGCGTTCGACTTACTTCAAGTTGGATTGCATGGTGTTACAAGTTATACCAACGTGGTTGCCTAGAGTTAATATTGTATATCATTGAAAGACTCTATGGTGTAGAAGTGGTGAGCAGTCAGGAGTGTAATCAGGTCGTTGGCCACCAGGTTCCACAGTAGTGCCCCCGTACTATCCTCACCTGCCACCCGAACTATCCTATTGCTTAGCATGTTCACGATCCAGTCTATAATTTGTGGCTCTACTCCATGTCTTTTGAGAGCCGCCTCAATTCTGGTGAAGTTAGTTCTATCAAAAGCAACTTCGATATCGATGAAAGTACCAAGACAGATGAGTTTGTTTTGAAAGGCCATTTCTATGTTACCGACTAGTATCAACTAGTCGGTAAGATAGAAATGGGGGGCCGATTCTGTAGATTTATCTGCTGAGTAGGCATGTTAATATTTATGTATCGGAAAAGTGCTCAGTGCACCACTTCGTACATGTCTGTCACATAATCTTTCCAAAGTTTTGTTTCTGTCGCCTTGAAGGAAGAGAAACTGATAATAGCCCATCTCACCTTTTCAGACGTTACAATCCATGGCCAGGCGCCAGCATCTTCCCGTCGATGTTAGCGTGACCACCTGTTCGATTGATTGACATTGTGGGGAATGGGTTTATAGTAGAATAAGATTATCTATCATAATAAAGAAAATTAAAATATGCATTAACAAATGAAATTGAGAATTGAAAACAATACATAATCTATAATAATATTGAATTAATCTACTTTTTCCCTAGGAAAATATTGGCACGGAAGTAGAAGACTGCCGCAAAAATTGGCTTTCGGTTGTCTTCTATTACCATAACTACGTCGAGGGTTCTACTTGCAACTTACAGAACTGGTAATGTCTAATAAAAAAGAGTTGATCTTAAATACTATTGTAATTTTATACCTGCCATATTTTTTGTTGTTGCACCAACTTTATCGTCATTAGTTTTTACAATCCGATTGCTCTAAAGATCTAGATGCAAAAAATATTCAATACATCAAAACTAAATTACGCGTGTTAAAGCACCTGTGGGTGACTGTGCTGTGATAATTCCATCCAGTACTCCAATTTCAGAAGGTGTAATAGAAAAACTATAGTTTAAATAAAAATCGGCCCACGGGCAAACAAATACAACAATCGTATGGAGCGAACGAAAGATGTGCGCTTCGCGTCGTGGTTAGTCTCACACTACACGAGTTTGACGAGACGAGAAGGCGGACGAGAAGGCGTGACAATTACGAACTGAATATTATTGACTGCAGATAGATTTGGACCAACAGCTTAAAATGCCTTCCGAATGCTTCCAAAGGACAGTGATCATCCATCTTCTCACAAGCCCTTGTTGCTTAATCTTCACATTACAGACCGAAAGCGCTAACGGCTGTGCTTTCAAGCTCAAGTAACTTGCAAACAAACTTACATACCTCAAAAGAATAAAAAACCAGAAAGATCACTTGGCTGTGCTTGTCTGTTTTCCGTCAATCACATCTCGTTTGCTGTGAACCTACTGGACCAATTTCGTTTTTTTTTCACCTACGGGTAACTAATCATACGCAAGTGACATGCTAAAATTTACCCGAGTGAAGTGACAGGAAAACAGCCAGTATGCTCATATGTAAATCGATGACAAAGAGTAATAAGGAGTAACCGTTTCGATCAAAATGAAAATTACATTTGCCCTTTTATTAATCAACATGTTTTTCTTTCATTAGGTCAATAGCCTGCGATTTACATCTACACATCCTTGGTCTGTTTATTGTGGTGCTATCACCGAATGAGACTTTCAGAAAGCGAATCATCCAGGTATTATTCGTGATTGGTGTGATCGTGCCAGCTTGGGAGATTTACTTCAGGGACTTAGATGGCAACTTCCTCGTAGTGGGAGAGTAAGTATGTAATAATGTCTTTATTGACAAGCAATTTGTTAAGAGTATCCGGTACTACCTCTGTGAAGTTTATTTATAAGTATACATAATATGTGAAGTTTGTTTATATGTATTTTTGTTTATGCTTCTTTATTTTTTAGTATTGCATAACATAATTATATTTCTTTTATGACTAAGCAAGTATTCAACAGCAAATGGGCCACCCTAATTGCTGCATTAGCAGAGGGGAATATCTTACAAATGTTACTATAATTGTCGGGGTTGTGCTGGATTGTCCCAACTTTTCGGAAGATGTCCGAAAATGAGGAAAATATCCAGTCAAATATTAAATAAAAGTGATAACCTCATAAAATCAATGAATCAATCGCTCGGTAACGGCTGAAACAACCTTGAAATAATGTCATTATCTTTGTTTGTTAATCAACAATATTTTTCCGAGACAAAGGATGAATGTCCCTAGTAATCCCGATTTTATCAAATTTACCCAGATATTTTACTTTTCCTATCTGGCAACCCTTGTAACGCTACATATTTTACAGCGTTACAACACAAAACAAAATTATGAAATAAGTTTAAATGCCATTAATGCTATTATAAAGTGCTAAAATTATAAAACTATATTTTAATTTTATATGACTTCCAGCGCATTACGGTCGTACATGGTGCACGTACCGACGTTCACGTATATGTACGTGCGTACGCACACAAACATGCCAACGTTCTTAATAGGCATGTACTTAGGATATACCATAGAAGAATACGAAAAGATAAAAATACATCCTAAAGTTAAAAAGGTAATCTTACTATAATATAATTTTTAACATTTGCTAGAAAAAATTTAACAGTTGAGGAGTTCAAATCAAAATTTTCAATTCAAGGATCCGAGCGCGCGAACCCTTTTTATACAATGTGTTCAGTGACAAACACACCTTCGTTTTGTTTTCAACAGAGCGATTCTGTAAAAATTCGAACCTGAATTCGAATTCACTCAAGTATACGAGTTCAGTTCGAATGCGAATTCGCTTAACTTATGTAAGTGTCAAAGTATTAATTCCATTTTTTGTATAAAATACAAAACAAGCTTTGATTGATTCGTATGTGTCTCAAATATTCTATTCCTATGTCATTTCGAAACTCACTTCACTAATGCCACGAATTCGTGGTTAATCGTATGTTGCTTTCAAAGTGAATTAGGACACCTGAGTGAATTCGAATTCGGGGTCCGATTTCTACGTAATCGCACTGCTGTTCGGAAATAAACTGACATCCTTATAGAAAGTATTAATTTTGTGTAAACCATGATACATATCTAGTTAGTATCATCGTCATCAGCCTTTTTAAGTCCCCACTGCAGGGGTCAGGCCCTCCTTATGGATGGTTAAGGAGGATGCCATGACCCTCCACGCAGGCCCAATGTGGATTGGTAGGTCATTACGTCTGCAAATGCTGGGACCAACGGCTTAACGTACCTACCGAAGCACGGAGTAACTCGAGATAATAATTTTTGGTCACCCATCCCGTGATCTACCCTTGCGAAAGTTGATTAACAGGTCGCAGCGCTTACCCACTACGCCACCGAGCTACTCAGTCGTCAGTATAGTTAATGTGTATTGTGTGATTTTAGGTGTTGAACTTTATCATGTGGATGATATTCCCGATGATCTTGATTATCGCCGTTTCTTCATACCTCCTGTTCCTCGGTGACGGTCCTCGGGCTCAGATGTGGTCCCGGATCCTGTTCGTCATCTTCCAAAAGCCTTTCTACGGTGTTATGATAGCATTTCTCCTTATTTCACTTTTCATTAAAATTGAAGGTAAATACTTGTGCGAACGAGATTGGCATTTAAAAAATAATTGTCCTAAAATAATTACCGATTAACTGACTGACAGACAACGCACAACCGAAACCGTTGGTTTATGACCAGCGGTTGGAGACTTGAAATTTGTAGGATACATTCATCTTATTACGTAGAGACGTATAAAGGACGGATTTTTGAAAATTCCACCTCAAAAAAGGTTAAATAGCATGAAAACGGTTTTTTATGAAAGTATTTTATTTTTTTATTTTTGGACTTATAGTTTCAAAAATTGTTAATTGAATTGCTAAAGGTCATGGGTTTCAGTCCCATCTCAGAGTGCCAGGGACAAAAGTGTTTTTTTTTTAAGCATTTTTCACTATGAATATTTTTGGGTATAGCATTGTGAATGCAACATTGATAAAATGTAATAATGAGAACAAATTTTCATCTTAATTGAAAGTTTAAATATTTGCATATATAAATTTTTTTCAACAGTTTGTGTTGATTGCTCGAAGATAGATGAAAATTCGATCTGTGGTAGCGAAAAAGTAACAAGTGCTTGAAAAAATAATTAGTCAGTTTAATTTGGTCCTGGGTAATTCAATGGTTAGAGCAGTCGCCCGGATTACGAAAGTTCATGGGTTCGGTCCCATATCAAAGCGCTAGGGACAAAGTGGATTTTTTAAGCATTTTTCATTTAGAATAATTTTCAGTATAGCATTGTGAATGCAAAATTGATCAAATATAATAATAATAGATACATTTTAAAACCAACGCCATCTATTGAGTTTAATTTAGAAGTATACTATATTATTATTATATTATTATAATAAAACTTACGTTATCGTTCCTAGATATACGCTTATACAGCTGGTTCCTGGAGAGCCCCGCGTTGATACCCCTCTCGAGGATCTCATACAGCGTGTTTGCCGTACACATAACGCTGATCAGATACATCGGCGGCACCAAAAGCTCCCTGTCATATGTTTCCTTTTTACATCTTGTGAGTAATCGTCCCTGAGACTGAAAAATGACTCAATTTATGTTGCAAATAATGTTTTAAGCCATTAAAAGTAAGTTTTGAAAAATCCGATATGAATATGCCCGTAAGTATAATTATGTATGATTGTATGCATAATATATTGTATAATTCTGTTTTTATTTGTTAACTCGATATTCTATATGTTATGGACCAAGTGATAAATTGAAATTAATTTAAAACATAAAATGAAATGACATCTAACCCGGGACCTCAAAGATGGCGATGACACCTTGAAACCAGCGTGTGAGTCATTTAAGTTACTGGTTAAAAGTTTTCTGTTTACATGTCTTTTATTAAATTTCTATTTCAGATTCAAGAATACCTAGGAGTTGTGGCGCTGTCCATTATGTTGGGTTTTATATTATACTTAGTGATTGAGGCACCGTTTTCACAAACATTCAAGTTGATTTTCTTCGGCCGCAAACCCAAAGCATCATTAAAAACAAATGATAATACGAACGGAGTGTACTCCAACGGAAAATCAGTTCACGTTAACGGAAAGTTCAGAGAAGAGCTCACTTACACAAAACCCATTAAAACAGAATAAAATTAGATATTTTTCATTGTAAATAAGATATCTATAGATACAATTTTTTAAATGGGTTTTGATAATAAAAACTAGCCGTTTATGTTATTAAGTATCAACCAACCACCTTTTAACCCATAACTGATATGATATTAAGGCGCGAATAGATTGTGGTTTTTATTACCTCTAATATAATCAGTTGTTAGCAACACAAACTACTTTCATTGCGTTTCTTCTGAAAGTAAATTTTTTTCAAGTCGGCTAGCATCAAGTGAACTTATAATGCAATAAAATATTTGTTTGATGAAACACGTTATTACTGTTTACTTATAACTAAATATTCGTCTGTATAACGTCTAATGAGAAATATTACAAACATATGACGTGCATTTAGAGTTTAAGTTAAAGTATATATACTTATTATATTTATAGTGATGGCTAGTGATAATTGACTTATTATTTCACATAGATAGACTTAACATTCAAAATCGTTATTCGTATGGTAAACATAGTATAATTTCTTTACCAAACAAAGTTTCAGCTTCGAAAATTAAACTCGGACGATTAGTTAATCGTCAAATGTTTAAGTTAAAACATTTGATGATTAACTAATCGCCCGAGTTAAATTTTTGAAGCTAAAATTAATATTTAAATTATATTAATTTGTGATTATTGAATGACTGGTATTAATCAATAATACCAGTCATTCAATAACAACAGTCTGAATATATAATGTGATCACCCAATATTGCCAGTAAAATTAATTCTAAGTGTTACTAAGTTCTACAAGTATAAATAATACGCAACATAAATAGTATATAAAATTATTATAATTTATAAATTCCTTTAATGTCAAATTTGTTATTTAATGCATATTAAAGGCATTAAATAAAAAAAATAGTTAAAGTTATGTCTCTACATCTAAGCCATATCAGCTCATAGCCATATAGTGTTTCTGTCGATCCTATCATGTCTACAGAAAAGTAACAAAGCTTTAAAAATCAAGTCCAATTTTAACCAAAAAATTATTAACGCATCTAGTTATGTGATATATCTCAAAATGTAACTTATTTTTACTTATTGCATATCAGGAAATTAAATTTTGTAATAAAGTCAGGAAAAAAATAGCGACGGTTATAATAATTTTTAATAGTACAACTACCCGAATGCGATTCGAACCCTAAATTGAGAGTTTGGTACATTATCTTAATGCGATTCGGACCCAATGACGGTTTGCTAAGTTTCGTTTCCTGCAATACGAAAAAATATTCTTTCGACATATGGCAAAAAAAGTGCATATTAACAATTACATTTAAATTTATTTACGATTCAAACTTTAAAAAGCGTTGATTTAAATGCATTAACTTTTAAAGTAGCTTCAGAATACGAATGATGGCTATTTTTTGTTTGTTAGTCCGTCAGGTAGACTATTGAAGAATATTAAACACGCATTTTTTTAATTTTTTCCGTAATCAGATAATTATAGCGATACATTTGCATGACGTCACTCTTTTATACATTTTCTACTAAACTGGGACGTAGCGAGCCCACGCTTTTCTACCGTAATTCCTATTACCTACTATAGCGCTCAAAATTATTTTGACATGTACAGTTTACTACATATTAACAAAAATAAAACGAAATTATTTTGAATTAAATAATATAATTAAAATGATGTCATGTTTCACAAATTAAGATACCAAAAGGTATGGAATTTCAAACAAAAAAAATGAACAAAAATTTGCTCAAAGACAGCTCAAAAGTATATATTGACTATTAACGTTTCTTTTTTTAAATTATTATACTGATGCTAATTATTTGAGGATTTCTTATCAATAATTTGTCGCATATCCATTCGCCTTCAATACCACTAAACAGCGCGCCGGCATTGAGTCAACTATTTTTTGCAAACGATCAATAGGAATTAGGCTCCATTTAACAATGGATGTTAATGCTTCGTACAAAGCTTCCTTGTTTGAAAAAATTCGACATCTTTTGCGGCAATCCAGTTTCTCCCAAAGATGCTCGATGATCCCAAAGATGGGTTTAAATCGGCACTTCGGCTTGACCACTCCAGGAGTTTGATTTTTGGGAGTTTCATGAAGTCACGTACATGCTTTGACTTGTGCTTAGGACAGTTATCCTGTTGAAAATATCAACCAGGTGGCATATTTGTTTTAGCATATGGTAGCATTTGCTTTTTAATTATCTCTGCGTACACAAAACGATCCATCTAACCTTCTATTCTAACTTATAGCCCAACCCCGTGGCATGAAAAGCACCCCCAAACCACAATACTGCCACCGCCATGTTTCACTGTGGGTATTTGGTAACAAACATCAATTTTTTTGTTTATTGGATGTCGCACGTACCGTATGCCATCAGATAACACTAAATTAAATTTGCTTTCATCACTCCACAACACCTTAGACTATTCTGAAGTCGTCCACTATCTGAACCGTTTTGCGAACTCAAGACGCAGTTTCCTGTTCTTTACAGAGATCAAGGGTTTCTTAGTCGGACGTCGTCCAGACAATTCGAACTCTTTTAGTAGACGTTTCACAGTTGAAACGTGTATATTAATGTCATGGTTCTCTTGTAACTCGTTCTTTATTTGCACTGCGGATTTTCGGACATCACTAGTCGATAGTCTTTTTATCAAGCGGTCTTCCTTCGTAGTAGATTTTTTGGACGCCCATTTCGAGGCTTTTTTCCACAGTTTTACGTTCAGTTATAATTTGTTTCATGCACTATCAAGTTCTCGAGACACTTAAAACAATCAAACAACTTGCTGTTTAAGCCGTGTCACTTTGTACGGCGATTATCACAGCATTTCTAACATCATTCGAATATTCTTAGTCTTAGGCATGATTAATAAATTATAACTAATTACGTAAAAGAAAATTCCGATAACAGTACGAGCGGTTCTGCTGACAATCAGGAACTGAACTGTTGTCAAAATACTTATGAACAAAAAGGTAAACAGACGTGTTCCAACTTGTACTTCACAGTAGTTAAGGTGCATCGTAAATAATAATAACATAAATATTCTCACCTATTGAGATGAACACAGAAACCAAATAATAACAAAATGAGCCTTGTCAAAATACTTTTGAGCGCTACTGTCATTTCTTGTTTAAATTGAAGCAAAACAATAAGTCGTCATCCATATTATATAGAGTTTTGACAGTTATAACACCAAAACATTATTTTGAAATTATGAATTTCCCTGGCCACCAGACGGGAAGACGCTAAGATATTATTGTATTTTAAACAACAACTAATTTGAATTATCACTAATGGTAGGTAGATGTGATCTAAAAGTAAACATGTGACAGTTCAATCAATGTATGGAAAGTGGACATGATTTATGACAGATTTTGTTTTTGGACATTTTACTTAGGCCCAACAATAAGGATGACATCTGATAATAGAAAAATATTAGAAGCGTAACTTTTTTTCATCAATTTCACAAGAAATGACTCAGATAACAGAATAACCATTCAAGTTGAGGTGTGAGGGCTTGGTACGTGTGATGTATCAATAAAGTGTAAGCGGCGCGTGAGCATACGCGCGGCGGGTGGGGGATGTTAGTCTGTGTTCCCGACCGTGGCGGACGCACGCGCGCTGCTTGGCTAAACTGAGACTGTTTTATTTATTTAATAACCCCGATAAAACCAGGACACCACACGTGGCGACGAGCCCTCAAGTAAGTGGTGAATTTGTTCTAAAATGTGATTTAATAAAATTACATAAAAAGAGGGAAATAAGGAACTCACGTGCAAAATTCAAATGGGTACGTAATGTATTAAGGCGCAAACGATCAAGCGGTATGCGTAGTTGAGATGTGTAGGTATTAAGAACAATTCAATAAAATCTTAATAACATCAAACTACTACCCACTTATCTCAGTATTATTTTTCTAATAGGATGTGTAACTATACTCCATTCATTATAACATTAGAAAAAAGAGGGTCACAGAAGCAGCAGTGCAGAACATTTTATTTTCAAGATAAATTTTAAAAATCTTATTAATAGTTTTGTTGACACTTTGATCGTTAGGTAATGTTTGAAAGAGTTGGGCAATTTTCCATTTTCTTTTGCGATGAGGCTAGAATTCTCTAAATTCATCTTTTACTCCCAAGCCAATATGGAACTATAACTATGTATCTGTCGTTTTGATAAAATTCTAATTGTAAATGTATAATTAGAATAGAATTTAGATAGATATATTTATGCCCAGGAAAGAAAGGTAAACAAAATGAAATTTTTATTATTACTTTTATAACATTTATTCAGATTTTATTAGATTTTTGATTAAGATATTGGAAAAACTTCCTGAAATGTAAGAGGTAATTGTTGTAGGCCATTCGGCCCTGCACTGGAATCGTCCATATTTAGCAAAACTTTACTACAAAAAGATAACAACTAAAACAAATCTATAAGAGAACAAAAATAATACAATAAAAACTCAATCACGGAATACCTACGGTAAAACAACAAGAAAGGCAATAACATTCACAACTAATGAGAATCCCCGATTACATATTTTGACTATTATGAATACATCACAATCTGACAAAATTAAAAAGCTGTACTACCGAAACGTTTGAAGGGATAAGGCAACGTTTTAAATTTGGTAGAGTTATAGTGACATGACAATCTTGCCGAGACTATCCAACCCTGCTTCTCTAGGTTCTTAAAGATGAACACTTTTTATTGTAAGAGTTATTAAATCTTTTAAGTTATTCAAATACTCATAATTATGTTTAACAGATGGCTTAAACGACAACTGTTAAGTATAGCAGCTGGTATTTAAGTGGATATGTAGCAAATAAGCCGTCAGTCTTAAGAGTAACATGATTGTTAATATTTTGTCACAAAGTATACCATAAAAAGAACCTTATTTAACTTCTGTCTGATGTTATAATGTATGGAGTATAATTGAAATTAGCGCAAACGTTATCTTATGTCAATGCCGAAGTTACACTGACAGCTCACTGACAGCTAGTGATTCCAGTAATGCAATCGATAAATAGTTATGTCCATGATATTCGATATTTTTACTCTAACACTACTTAAATGATTTTGCAATTAATATTTGTGACGTAATACTTCCGACTACAGTAATAATAATCATACAGTCGGTATGTAATCATACAATAATCTTGATTCTGGAAGTTATTTTGTTTTCCCATAAGATTGAGATTACTATCTAAACTAAAACGGAACCATAATCAATTGGCTAACTATAGATACCCGTAGATATTCACACGCATTTCAAATAAGTGTATTTATCAATGGCAGTTGACAATTTTATACTTAAATTAAGTTTTGCGTTGGTAGTAGGTTGTAGTTTGGGAATAACAAAGTCAAAGTCAAAGTCAAAATAAATAATAAATTCTAGAACGCAAGGGCCGCGGGTTTGATTCCCGGTTAGGGTTAAAACATGTTCAAAGATAAACGCTATTGGCACTTAACATGGCATTAACCAATGTTTTTATAATTATATTATTACTAATTTATAATTATATAATTCAAACCAATATTTATTTTTATCTTTAGAAAATACTAGGTTAGGTCTATACCTGGTACAGACAGGTAACAATACACCTACTTACCTACACATACCTACTAAACCGCCTTATTACAAGTCCTAAAAGGTACCAAGGGTACAATTTATATTCTGCCAAGGCGCGGTAAGGTGCCAAGGAGCGCAAAGGTTATATTTCCAAAGTGAATTAAGGTGCCAAGGAGCACGAGTAGGTATGAAACTTGCCAAGCGCAGCTATTATGTGAGATTATTTAAAATACCTATTGCATTACATGGGCCTAACAAATAAAAGGTATAAAAAAAAAATTTAAAAAAAAACTTAACAACCAATTTAAACTAGTATACTTAAACAATAGTTGGTTCACACTTGTGCTACAAATTTAATTGCACTACTAATTAGTTGGTAGTCTATAATATTTAAATATTAATTATAAGCTGTTATTCAAAAACATATAAATAAAGTATAAATATAATATACCCATTACAAGCATCTACTTCTAATTGAATGTTTATTTTCTTCTAATAATAAATATATATATAAAAAAATACACATTATGATAAACTTATGATATCCAAACGTATACATTTAAAGTCATTAATATTAATAACAGTCATGGTATAAGGTATGTTTAACTATTGACAAAAAACCAGCAAATAATGAACAGATGGCCGTTAATATCCTAAGTGAATAAATAAAAATAATACTTGGATGTTAAAAATATGTAATGCAATTGCGATTTTAAAAAGTAACAAAAAAAAAAAAAAACTTACCCCGACTCTAGTATCCGGAATACATACCTTAGGCACCAAGGGTGCAATAAAAGGACACTCTAATGTTGTTTCAGGTTCGCCCAAAATGTCCAATTTACCGCCGGTAGAACCATTACAATGCGATGGCGATCCCATGTCACTGGGATTGCGTTGGGTCAAATGGAAGAGAGCCCTAGAGATATACCGTTTGGCGTCAGGTGTGGATACGCCTGCCAAGAAAAGAGCTATTCTTCTCCATATGGGGGGAACAGCATTACAAGAAATTTATTATAACATACCAGGAGCACACGTTTCGGATGACGAGATCAAAAATACAACCGATGTCTATAAAACGGCAATAGAAAAATTAAACGAGTATTTCTTACCCAAACAAAGCAAAGTATACGAGCGCCATTTATTTAGACTACTCAAACAGGAATCGGATGAAAAATTTGATAAATTTCTTGTAAGATTGCGCCAACAAAGTAGGAAGTGTAATTTTGCAAAGGAAGAGGATACTCTTATTGATCAGATTATCGAAAAATGTAGTTCCGTTGAACTGAAGAAGAAAATGTTGACCCTAGGTGAGGCTATTACATTAGACCAAGTTATTATAAAAGCCAATGCAATGGAATCAGTACAACGACAATTATCGGACTTTAGTAATCAACGAACTGGTTCTATAGTGAACAGAATTGAATCAAAAGGCGATGACTTCCAAAAAAACTGTTGTTTCCGTTGCGGTAGTGCGAAACACAGTGGAGATAATATGTCCTGCCCTGCCCGTGATAAAAAATGTTCTAAATTGGTTATATTGGACATTACATGGCACGATGTCGAACTCGAGCCAATAAACGGAAGTCTACGCACCAAGATGGATCTAAATTGCCCAATAAAAAATTAGACCGCCTTTTAAACCTAAAAACTACTCGAATCCCAAAGAAGATGAGAAAAAGCCTTGCACTTCATCGTCTTCAAATATAAACTACATATTTTATCTTGGCGAAGACGAGAAGATAAAATGTAACCTCGGTGGAGTCAACGACGTCGAGTTACTTATTGATTCTGGAAGTAATTCTAACATAATAACCGACAAAACTTGGAACTTCTTGAAAAGTCGTAATATAATTGCTTCGAACCAAGTACGGAATCCAGACAAAATCTTTATGCCATATGGTAGTAACGCTCCTTTAACAGTCCTAGGCTCTTTTGAAGCCAAAATCAGAATTGGTTCAGAAGAAAAGCAGAGTACATTCTATGTCATTAAGGATGGTACACGGGATTTACTTGGCAAAGAAACAGCTATTGATCTCAATGTGTTAAAACTTGGATTAAATATCAATATGGTAAATCAACAACAGAATGTAAGTATTTTCCCGAAATTCAAAAACATTAAGCTGGATATCGCTATCGATTGTACAATTACTCCTGTCAGTCAGCCATGTCGTAGGATACCAGTACCTCTCGAAGAAAAGGAAATTTAGAGACAAGATTCCGTCGATAACTGGGAATAATACCGAGGTTGATTTGGAAATCAGGGATAGAGATAGATTCATGAAAGAAAAAGGGAAAATATACGAGGACCGGAAAAGAAAAGCAACAGACTATGAAATAGGGAAAGGAGAGAAAGTCTATGTAAAAAACATGACCAAAGAAAATAAGCTTACTACAACGTTCAACCCTACACCGCATACTGTAGTAAGTTCTAGTGGCAATGAATACAAGGTCAGGAACGACGAAACAGAAGGAACTTGAGACACCTTAAAAAGGTAGAAGGTCAATGGCAAATTCACCAGCCTGAAGATGACAAACACGCAGAAGATTTGGAGACTGAAACTGATTTAACGGAAACATAAAAATAAACAAATAATTTTGTAACGTTAGGCAACAGGTCAGGAAGACCGTTAAATATATTTTGGAATAACAGGTGTATTAGTTTATAGAATATTAATCTACGTACGATTATTATAATTCTTATAAAAAGGAAGAGGTGTGATGTATCAATAAAGTGTAAGCGGCGCGTGAGCATACGCGCGGCGGGTGGGGGATGTTAGTCTGTGTTCCCGACCGTGGCGGACGCACGCGCGCTGCTTGGCTAAACTGAGACTGTTTTATTTATTTAATAACCCCGATAAAACCAGGACACCACAGTACGTAACAACTACGTAAATATGTACAAATGTGTGACGTCATGCGACATTTCAATTAAATGTATTGCCTTATTTGTAGGTTATGGTAAAATTAAAAAATATATGTTTAATATTCTTCAAAAATCTTGCTGGCGGACAGGCAAATAAAAATCAGAGATTATCCCTATTCTTGACAAGGACTGAGAACGAAATGTTATTAGACTTTCGAGACGACATTTGCAATGCTAAAATGCTCTTATATGTATACGAGTTACTGGCTTATTACATCTCATTCCGAGGTTGACCACCTTCTTTTTCTAATTTTACCGTCCATGTTATAAATTTAAATTTATAGTCATATAATTATTTATTTATGGTTAAGGTATTGTTATGTTAATAGCTCGGCTAGTGAAGTGTATTAAAAGTTAATTTTTTACATCACATATACATCTCTAACTATAATGCGGAGGTATTGGTGTAATAAAATGTTTTTTAAAACGAAATCTTTTATTCTATTTTTGTACAGATATACTTATCCTTATGACCTACTTAAGAATACTTTTTACAAACATTTAATTAAAAAAAAACTTATTTAATATGACTATCATTAAAAATGACTCGATTTAATGAAAATATATACAATGAAACGATATCTGTAACAAAGTGTCCCTGTATAGTCTGAACACTCGTTAAAGTTATACATGGCAGTCCGAACAGTATTTCGAGTTTCAACCGAGGCGCAGATTTTATGATGCTCGAGTAACAACAGTATATAAAAAACAATGTGACGTCATTGAACATTTTCAAATATTTATAACAATAACATCTTATAGACCTAGAATATTTTGCATATCATTCCATACTTTTTTTAAGAAATCAAATAAATTTCGTATACTGGCCAAGACGTTCACAAAAAAATACACAAATTCTATTTCCAAGATAGTCATACATCATCAGCCAATTCGTATTCAAAGATATAACTGCCGACTCTTTAGTGACGTCACCAATTTAAATATATGAATAAACATTCACGACGTCACAAAACTAACAGGCATGTGAACGTAGGCATTAAATATACATTATGTTTTCAACTTGTAAGCATATCTAAAGACTTCACTAAAATATTTTTCAATCTAGATTTTTGTCGTCACTATTAAATCTAATATTTGTTAAATCTACATCACCAATTTCTTATAAGACAGTTAAATAACGTTGACGTGTCCAGAAGAAATATTTCACAATTGTATAGAAAAAACAATCATTTCCTTTTTTGAGATATCTCCGAACTCTTCTCCTTATTTTAAACATGAACAGCGCTTATTATTAATTTTTAACACATTTGTGTAAGATATTTCTAGACATCCTGTCTTCTCCTTATGTTCGCCACCAAGTCCAAAGGTTTCACTACAAACGATTGTGGTTGTTGCACAACAGGCGGTTTTCTCTCAAACTGTGTACATGCACGCCACAGTTCTATGGCTGGCAGCTCCACCAATAAACAGATTGGTATTGCCACAATATATGACAATACAGACACTGATATTAATAGAGTTATCTGCAACGAAGATATAAATCACGTCATAATAATGGAACGAACGCAAATATACATCAATGACAGGTGAGTAAAATAAATTAATCACAGAAATTAAACCGAAATCCCAAATACTCATTCCATTTGACATGCTATCAAGACACTCATTCATTTATATACAGATATATAGTTCAGATAAGTGATATAAGTTAGATTTATCTTATGTCTTTAAATTTCTATCGATATGATATCTAATGAAAATTTTGTCCTAACACTGCCACATCTGCAACTTTTCCTAATTCAAATTAGCTTGGCGATCAAACATATGTAATCTACATACGACATGGGTAGAAGTACAAAAGTGAATATTTACTACAATATTTAACCAAGAAGCTTTATAATTAAAATTTTCTTGTATTTAGCATCATTGGGTTGGCACTGCTTTGTCAAAAAATTCCTGAGAAACCTCTGTGGAGACGTTAAAACATGTAAAAGGTGATGATTACAAGATTTGGTGTCCCTTCTACACCTTATTAAATGCGGACGGAGCACAAATATTTTGTAGTGGGGTGTGAAAATTACTGTATTGCTACGACAATGTATGCCTGATTCGAGTGCTGTAAACGATAGACATTTAACTTGTAGATACGCCATTGTCATCAATCTAATTGTCTTTTTGTTGTATATAAGCCGTCCCTGTAATTTTAACTTACATAAAAACTTGGATAGATGCAACGATATAATAAATATTATATTTGCTCACCTACCCAATGCCAGGCTCTTGCAAAAGATACCTAACTTCTGCTATCGCTGACCAAACGCACACCACCTGCCACCATCAAACTCCGCACAATAAATGACACATACTGACCAGGGAATATATAGAGGCATGGTTCAGCTGCGTGTTGCCAGCTAGGATGAGCCGCAGAACAATGAAATGTAGCACAAACACGCAGTACGACAACCGTCCTAAGAAATGAAATCCACGCCACTCGAAGAAGTCACGTAACCCAGCTGCGAATTAAAATATTTGTTGAGTACTAATGTGGAATAATACAATATCACATGATTACATTGTTCATTAGTAGCTGTCTTTTTCGATGCCTTCTTATTTGTTCATTCACGATTCTTGCCCTTTTTACGTTTATTCTTTTTGTCGAATGTTTAACACGGCTTCTGATATATAAAATTAAAACGTAAGTATACTACAAATGAAGTCGGTTAAAACGTCCTTGTTAATGTAAACGTCTCAATTACATTCATCTTGTCATTTTATGCCTGTGGTCAAATAATGAATTCGCCATAGTTATACTAACATTATCAGAATTAGGGCCCAGGAAACGTGCAGGACTATGCCATGTGAAGGGAGGGTTAGGCACCGATTGTGTATTATATCACTCACATCTAACAGCTCTGATCTCATACTTTATAATAAATTTCTCTTTCCAATAAAACGATGAAAAAAGTCTACTAACTCTATGTCAACTCACATTTACACTTGACGAAGCAGCCAAGCATGAAAACACTGAAGCAGATAGCCACCAACGGTCTGTCCAGCGCAGCATACAGCGCTGATACCCACTCTGGTGGAGATGACCTCAGGAACATTACCCCGGGGAGCACTACTGCACTGCCCAGCGTCAGGGACAAATGAAATGCAAGGTTGAACCACTGTGAAGAAATTAATCATCATCATCATAAGCCTATTTTATTTATGTTTTCAAAGCTCCGAATGGACAAAACCCACCAAGCGGGTCTATTTCAGATTAGTGAGTGTTAATAAAAGTAAATGAAGCACGGAGCAGCTCGAGATAATGGTTTTTATGTCAAATATACCAATCATCCTGTTACCCTTGCAAAAGTTACTTAACCTTCGGAATCACAAAGTGTACGCACTAAGTGTGCCATCGAGCTCCTCTGGAAAAAATTAGAGCAATGCAATAATTCTTAATTTAGAGCACAAGATTAATTTTATTACAGTAAAAAAAGTTTTAATAATAATTTAAACCTTTTCCTTAAGGCATAAAAATTTTTGCTCTGTATCAAAAGTCAACAATTATATCTCGAGAACAATGTTCAATGATCACGGTCAAAATTCAAAACATTTGTGACAAGATTACAATAGAATAGAATAGAATAGAAAATTCTTTATTGTTAACATTACACAAAGTTACATTTACAAATTTAAAACATTTTACAATATAATGTAACAATTGGCGGCCTTATCGCTTAAAGCGATTTCTTCCAGGCAACCATGGGATAGAAAGAGAGATAACAATTTATGAAAACAATATGTATATTCACTCTACTGTTTCGCCTGTAATGTATTTCTTACCTTATTCTGATTAAGTTTTATGCCAGAAGACTGTATATGATGCAGAAGAAAAGCGGTAGCCATACCACTCACGTAGCCAGCCAGGTTCATCCAGCTCGGTAGATACAGTAAGGTTAAGATCTTTGAACCAGCAAACATCGTTCGAAGAACTCTGTTGGATAAATCATACGTTCATACTCGTAAACTTAAAAAAAATACGGTGTATAGATATGTACTGTGAGAATTATTTTTAGATCAATGGTTACAGACAGTGTGGAAAAGTCCCATTTTTTTATTATTTATAGGAAATATTACTGCGAACCCCAAAATAAACCCGGTTGAATTCAATATGTAGTTTTGAGACGGTTTGATATAAACTGCAATGTGATGCATATATGAGACTAGCCACTCATCATCATCACCCTAATAATGCTGGAGCACAATTCTTTCATACTGATGGAGTCAAATAGTGAAAACGGGTGATAACCTATCATCATCATCAGCCTATTAATAATCCCGAATCGAATAGGAAGAATGGGCCATGAGTCACAACGCGAACCTAGTGTGAGAATTGTTGGGTGCTAATGACTGCAAATGCAGCCGGAACCGACAGCTTAAATGACTTCTGTAGCCGGAGCTTGAGTAAAAAAATTTTGGTCACCTATTTTTGGACAGATCCTTACGAAAGTTGACAGTCTGACTACGTTAACCAAAGCATCATGGAGATCTTTAAAAAATTGTGTTAAACTGTGCGTGTAGTATTTATTATATATAACTAGCTTTCCGTCAGCGGGTTCACCTGCTGCATCTTATATTATTGACGTAAACCTTCCTCTTCAATCACTCCTATGAATGAAAACTACATTAAAATCCGTAATATCTCAGCGTACAGACAGTGGCTTTGTTTTATACTATGTATAGATAATGACTGACTCTGGTGCCTGTCCGGTGATGATGGGCGTGAGTCGGTAGAAGTAGGCGACCAGCCCGGCGGCAGCGGCGGAGGCGAGCAGCAGTCCCCCCAGCACCGGCGCCACCAGCGCGCGCCGCCTCGCCACACCCACCAGCACCACCAGTCCCAGCGCGTGCAGCTGCATGTCCGCCGCCAGGTACCTAAGGAGACATCACAACAATCGCTTTGTAATGGTGCGTTTAGGGAAGCAACGATATATCGGAAAACTGATATACCGATGCCAAAGATATCGATATCGAAGAAACAGCGATATCGATAGTTTACTTAAGACCCCAAACATATTGCGATAAATATAAATATATCGGCTTTGTAAAGCTAAAATATAGATTGATAAAGCGATATCAACTAAAATATTGATATCTCGTATCAATATTTTTATAAAAGTTGCATCTCTAGACGCCTTCGTACAATCGACACCGACATCCTGTTTCTAAATTATTTACATTAAAACTTTTTATGCCTATGATCTTAAATGTCATAATTCTTTATCCTATTTTTAAATATTTTAAACTATTGGACGTACGCCAAAAAATATTTTTTTAATGTCATTTAATTACTATGTAATTACTAATAATTACTATGTATTCGCAAACAAGCTTGGGCTTTTTATTCTATTTAGTAATAAAATATTTACGACTAATATCACAAACAATAAATTATTTTGAAATTCAATTAAGCTTTGAAGCACTATTCTATGGTGAAACAACGAAGAGTGGCAACTCCGTCCAAACCGTAGAAAATATAGGAACACAGGGGCTGCAATCTCGACAGAATTTGCAATCGTTAAGTAACGACCGCAGAGTCCACTAACTGATCTGTCAAACTCGATCGCTAGGAATAAATGAATATCGGCAATTTGACGATAGCACTCTGTATGTACCTAATAAGTAGTGAACTGTACAGACTTGCAATAATCGTTAAATTGCAAGCGCTTTGAGTTAGAGTCCGAATTCGATAAGATTGCGATCAAAAACTCTAGCGAGACCTCAGCCTGGAAATAAGGCAAAATACTTCTGGGATGGCGACACCTAGAAACCGGCTTGCGAGCCCCACGGCCTCCAAGGAGATCGTCAAAACTAAAATCTTACCACGTGTGTCCCATACAGAACTTGCCCATTGGCAAATGGTTGTGCACGTATAATATGTGGTACCACCACCGCTCCGAGCAGTCGTGCGACTCGCGTGTCACCAGCCATGACCACTGCGGGCCCGAGCCCATCATGCGGTAACACGACACCGTGAACCACAGCGCTACGCCCGCCACCGGCGTTAACCTGTACATTTAAATAGAAGTAACTAAAATAATTAAGGTAAAGTTCGTACCAAGGTTCGTACCAGCATACCAAGGTCTACACACTTACGCTGCACGGTTTCAACCCAGTGATTAACTTGTCGTCTAGACCATTAAATCGTATGACATCTATACTAATATTATTAAGAGGAAAGATTTGATTGCATCGAAAAGGCTCCGAGTCTACCAAACCGATCTTAAAATTATTTCACTTACGGCTATCATACGCATGAAAAGTCGGGGAAAAACAGCTAGTATAATATATATGATAATATCACTAAATGGTCCGTGAGCTTCAAGCCCGCTGAATGCGAGCCGTCTACCAGGAACGAGTACATCGCGCGTTACCGATAGTAATAGTTTCGAACCTGCGGTGTAAAAGCAAAGCTTGTACGTCAGTCAGAAGATGCGTGAAAATAAAATTCCAGACAATGACAATGTAAAATATGCTATGTTTAAACGGTTGAAAGAAATGTGAACACCTATTTCACCCATGTCCTGCATTATTTTGTTCTTTTTCTTTATATTTTCTGAAAAACAATATTAAACATATTTCTTTAAACAAGGGCTTTGCAGCATGTCTACCACTTCAGTCGAATGACTTTGATTTGATTGACATTGGATTGAATTACACTCAAGAAAATGTAAACTAGATTTAGACCCCCGTCCGGTCCAAAGTGGACCTCTTTGAGCCTATTTGGATCTTACTGAGAATCATCGATAAAACTAATAATAAAACATTTACCTTTATACAATAATTTATTTTGAATACTGACCTTATAAATCTATTGATAAGAGACATCAAACATTTGAACACAGTAATGGGGTTTTTGTCGACAGTTATGACGGTGGCGTAAGTTGTTAGGAACCCTGACATCGAGAAGAAGGCCTGCAGCCACAGGGGAGAGTTCAACACAGCTTGCCACCCAAACTGATCGTACATCTGAAATTATTCCATATAACAAATGTAAAAAAAAGCATCGTAAAGCAGGGAGCTTTGCAATTAGTCTGCCCCGAATCTGGTAATCACCAAGTTTGGTATATAAATTAGCGAAGTTAAGCAACCTACGCAATGGTTGGTTTTGGGATGGATAACCGATAGTGTATTTTTTTAACACTATTCGATCACTATTTAGATCTCTGTGGAAACAAAAATCAGACTAGATTTCGAGAAAACTCTTAACTTTTCGTATTGTCATGGCATAGATTTTTCTTTTTAAGTTATAGTTGCAACAGGAAAATACCAGACAGTTGTCAATCCAAATAGTCATTAAAAAATAAAAATACTTACCTTCTCAACAAACTGAGGATTGTCCGTGTAAGAATAAATGTAAATTAGTAACACGTGAGAAAATATGACACACTGTATACCAATAAACCTGCGAACAATAATAGACTTTATTACATTCATTATAAGTCACGCTAAATTCAGTCAAAATACCGATATTTACCCCCAGGTAAAAAACGATATACAAAATGTCGATTATGGCATAATATAATCGATATAATATCGTTATTATCCAATAGTTATATTTATTATTTAATTTGATATATTAATGAAATTGTGTATAGTTGGTAGGTAGGTATCACACCATATTGATTTGTCAGTATCATCCAAAAATGCGTTCGACTATAAATATAATATTGTCAGATAACAGATGTAGATCAATAAGAGAAAACGTTAAACAAAGATTTTTTTTAAATATCATCATATATCACGAACACCTTCTATTTCAGGTTATTAATAAAACAAAATAAAAGCTGCCAGACATTGTGGATTCAATTATTTTTGATTTGAATATTTAAGGATCCACTTTTAAGTCACTGAACTGTATCCACGAACAATGATGATATAGCGACATATTTAATCGATTCTATATTTATCGATATCTTTTTCCCTCAACTATCCCTAATGGGAATAGTCATTCCATAAAAATCATATTTGTAAAAATTATGTTCTTATCCTTAATTGTTACCTAATACCCTCGATGCAAGTAAGATCCTTCATTCGATCGTCGCTTCGTGGCTTGCTGCGATCATATGTCAAAATTTCCCAATTCCTCTTCATTGAAAACGCGAGCAGATACTTATTGCCTGTAACAACAATAACTTTAAAGCAGTATATTACAACCTCTTTTTTTTTGTTGTGGGGGAATCCATTATGCCGCCATTGAGGTTTGACCCTCATACGGTAAAATTTCTTACCGTATAACGCGCCCGCAATAATATATTTATACTTGTCGACAGGACCAGTATGATGCACATCTCCAGTATAATGATAATTTTAATTGATTTAATTAGCTTAATATACTTCAGATGAATCTTTTATTCTACTAAAACTTGTCAGATTTAACTTCCACGGTATTGTTAACGATATTTCTTTGGGATTTTGAGTTGTGTGTTAATCTTGTAAGTTTTGTATTTGTAGATTTTTTTCGTCATATAAATTGATAAGACAGCTACAAAGAAAAATATTATTATTTATCACATGTTATTCTAGATATTATCTAGACAAGAAAATAATAATCTCATTAATAGATCAATGAAGTATTCATTACACATATAGATAATAAATACATAAAATTATTGAGTCAACAATCACAAGAAATTTCCCTTCATACAATAGACATAAACGCATCACATCCGAGTATTTTTCACATTGGTTTCACGGCACTGAATCAATACAATTCAATTTTAAACTTCAAACCGGTTCATTAATTGAGATTCGTTTTTTTTTAAATTACATTTTTCATAGAGAAAAAAATCTGATAGTGTTTTAATATGATCATAGGAAATTTATAGATAGTTAAGGAGAAGGGGCCATATCCCTCCACAATGCGGATTGGAGGGTATTAACGACTCCTAATGCAGCCGGAACCAACGGCTTAGCTTGCCTTCCTAAGCACGGAGTAGCTCAAGATAATAATTTTTGGTCACCAATCCCGTGACCAACCTTTACGAAAATCGCTTAGCAATAATGATCGCGGACCCGGCGCCAATCTACTACGCCACTGAACTACTCTATCGCAATCACCTTAATCCTCCAAAACTAAACATAGCTAAAGTACAATAACTGAACATATACTGGCTTTCTTATATAAGTTCTGTCAAATAAACAGATAAGGCCCGCTAAACCTGAGCTTAGTGACGTAAGCCACACAATAAATGCAGTGAAGCAACGCGGGTCACGGCCAGGACCATCGCGATTGAACGACATGATGTTTCGTGTTCCGTAACTATACATACCTACATTATATGGATAAATAAAGAGTGGCTTGCAATTCCGCGAACTGAAGATACTTTATTTTACTTAATAAATTTTATTAGGGTTGCCACCCATACTATATTATATAGCATGGTGCTGTATTTCATTCAGTTGGACTATATGTTAAAGAAAAATGATACAGTACGAATAATATTAAATTTTCATATGTAATTCCGTTGATGCACTTTCGGATACAAAAACAAATATATTTAAATTACAAATAATTTTAAATATTTTATTTTTACTTGCCATACATTCTACTTTTACTGAAAGATTTTTTCCATAATAATAATGAATATAACATGGCGAAAAAAACGGAAAAAAGCCTCTTTTAAGTAAATGTATTTTAATATGAATATGAATTCCTATAATTATTTAAAAATAATAAGACTTTGTAATAGCTAAGACTACAAAAAAATATTTTTTTTTTACTATATTTTTCCTTTAACTTCCCGATAGTGCTAAATTATTTTATGAAAAAAATATTATTTTACCTACCTTAAAAAAGATGGCAACCCTAGGTACAGTATACCTTCCCTCTGGATGGAATCTAACACGGAGAATGGTACAAGACTCACCTCGAGCCGAGTGCGAATTTGTGGATGTTGACGACTACATATGCAGCCGGGACGAACGACTTCACGTGGAATCTGGGCCACTGCTCCAACCTACTCATATATCATTTACATTGGCCCGTGTGTTTTATTGATTAATGATACGAGTCCGCAGTGGATGCCATCGACCTATGTAACTGATCCATAAGCTATCCCGGACCTTGACGAGACTGTATCGCTAGTAAATTATTAATATTAACAATTTTACAATGTATGTCCTAAATCTAAACATAAGCTAATCAAGTAATTTTACAACTTTACTCAATATTAAATAATCTACCCAGCAAACAATTCAACATTTACGAATGCATTAACTAGATGTTTATAATTTATAAACAAACATACATTCCATTCTAATAAGGTCATTAGAATGGAAACGTTAGACTTATTTATTATATCTATTTTAAATTAAATTTCACTGCATTACCTTGATTTAATATTAACTGGACACAACCTACAATTTAATTTGAAACAGTTCAAATTAAACTTCCGCATAGATTATACACAACGCTCAGATAATGCTCCTAACTTCAAAAGTAAGTACATGTCATTCTACATAAATTTCGAAACGTCTGTTACTCTCTCTCACTCACTGGACGTATGAGTGATAAAAAAACATAGAACCGTTTTCAAACTAAATAGATGATAAATAATACTTATCTCAAAAGCGACTAACTAAAAAAAATGCTATTGCCTATGTAAACTCCGTATGATGAAGCTACCCGTAGGTGAAAGAATTTTTTAATTTTGGTCAAGTAGTTACGAAGCCTATTCGATACAAACAAACAATCAAATCTTTCCTCTTAATAATATTAGTGTAAGTACTATTAATCACTTTTTTAAAGTTTGAAGTCGATTTAATTTGTTTAAAGATTTAAATCATGCTTTTTAGTGATATTGATATTTTTTAAATAATAGGTAACACTAAAAATATTAAATACTAGCTCACGCGGACGAAGCCACTGGCGGAAGGATAGTTAGTGATGAGCCCCTCACTCGTGAGGTGCCTCGTTTGAGTTCCTCATTTCGACAAAATGAGGGAGTACTCGTTTTTCAATTTTGAACCACCTCATTAAGCTCCTCACTGTTTGATAGAGGAGCTAAATGAGGTGGTGGACTTTTTGAGTGAAGAGCTAAATAGCGAGTTGTTTCGAATGAAAAGGCGACTCGATACGTAATCAATATATTCAAGATTGAGGGAATGGGTTAGGTTTTATGAGTTTCTTGGAACGATTCAGGTTTGTTTATGTGTTTCTTCGCAAATACGTATTTAATATTTTATAGATAAATGATATTAATTAGTCTAAGTAAAAACCAAAGTTAATAAAAATGTATCGGTTTTATTTAGAAATATATTTATATGATTCGAAATATAAATTATTGATTTTAAAAATGGAACATTAGGCACTATTGCAAATAAGTTGCGTGTTGTGGTCATTCTGTTAAATAATAATCTAATAAAGTTTATTTCTTAGAATCTAAAGACAAAATATGTTTTGTTTAGCATTATTACCGACTTCCTCCCTCATTTTGTACCAAACGGCAATGTTGCACGCGCCTCGCTACGTACTCATTCACTGCTACTATATAACATTACCTATCCTCACCTCAAATGAGTGGTGACTCACGAGCCCCTCACGAGGAAAAATGAGGTCCTCACTCATCCTCATTAAAAAAGAGTGAGTAACACAACGCTAGATAGTAGTATTATGAATGAATGAATGAATGATATACTCATACTAGCTTTCCGCCAGCGGCTTCGTCCGCGTCGTCCCTAAGGAACTGTTTATTTGGATATCGATTCATGTCACGACACGAATTACAATGACAAATTTAATAGTAAACAATCGTTACTACAGTAACGTTATTTGCTGTCTTTCGGGATAAAATTTGCATTTTTCCACCGCATATGATGTAGCTTCCCGTAGGTGTAATAATTTTTAGATTTGGTCCAGTAGTTGCAGAGCTTATTTATTTATTTAACAAACTTTATTGACCGTTCAACTGGTACAAAAGGCGGACTTAATGTTAATAGCATTCTCTACCAGTCAACCTTTGGGATACATAAATACATGATGGCGGCATAAAGTTAACTAATAAATATTCGTTGTAAACAAACAAACAATGAAAGGTTATGTTTATTTGCTTAGGCTAGTTGACAACTTTTTATATTTGTAAAATAATGTGAGAAGTAACAGCATATCTACAATTCATAGTTTCGGAGATACCACACTATATTTGTGGAACTGCTACTAGTCGGCTGAAAACGCTCCCTACAAATTCAAGGCACTAAGTCACACAATGCTATGGTAGCGAGAAACGTATGGGCATCGGTAATTTTTGTACCAACTCACTACCATGAAGACAAAAATATATTACAACATCAAGTCTTATTTAGACTTAGTTTCTGGCTCCAGTCGCCTACTTGACTAATAGTTTACTTTGACACTTTTAGAACATATTTGTGGAATAAAATATATATTATTACTATAGTAAACGAAACACCAAAGATACGATGATAACATACCATCAGTTTTAGCACATCGTTCTCCCAGCACGTGTAGTGTGGTGGCCAAGAATGCCAAAGCTATCAGGACGACAAACAATATGGCCAACGCGGAGGTACCGTTCGTAGGTTCCATATGAGTTGTAGAACACCACCCAACTGATAGCACCTCAGCCTGGATACAATAAGTCTTTTTATTCACACAACCCTGCACATCGGCCAAGAGGTTCAATAAAATAAAATATTTATGTATTTAGTCTGTGCCTGCGACTTCGTCCGCGTGGAAAGTACTTAAGCTACCCCTAATTACATAAGCTATCTGCCATTGGAAGTCCCGTCAAAATCGGTCCAGCCGATTCAGAGATTAGCCGGAACAAACAGAAAGACCACCAATGTAAAAAAAGGGTTTTTTAATAAGTACATATGTATAATAAGTATACATATGTATTTAGTGAATAGCAGTTATTTTAATTATACAAACAGATACTCCGATTTTATTTATTTGTATAGATTAGGTCGGTAACGCAACAGACATTAATCAATAAATTAATAAGTAACAACTGTATTGTACTTGATTAATACCCTTAAGGTGTTTTACACTATTCTATCCAATGCAAAGAAACACACAAATCTATACTTTTTATAATTTAAGTATATTTGTTAGATGCATTAGTCGTTATTCT